GTCTGATCACATCGGATTTCCAAAAACTTACACGAGCTATTTCACGACGTACTCGTCAGCATCGGAAAACACATAGAGAGCGCTGCAACGTTAGCACACATTTGCTCATTTAAGGTTAAAAAAAAATATTTAATTTTCCTTTTTTTGCTGATAACTCATTATTTTTAAATACGTATATTTTTTCTTTTCTTTTTTTTTTTTTTTTTTTGCTAGCGCTCTATTAAATTCATTCAGGACGATTCATTGAAGCTGGCCAAATGTAAACGTTTTTCTTATCTGCATCACTTATCTCATCCTGCCAAACACACTGAAAGCCATTTATTGCCGTAAACCACCACCAGACCACAACAGCGTTGGCGATCGGTCTTTGGGCTCAGCACTGGATCAAACGGGGGCTACGGGGGCGCTGCGATAGTGTTTGCAGTTCGTCATTTTTTTAAAAAAACAGAATACCATTTTTTACAGCACTAACAGCCTGTCGTCTCCGGGGCGCTCATCACAAACCGCAGCAGCTATCGTCAGGCTGCTTTCCGTAGGCCTTCGCCCTTTCTTCAGTCTCACCTCCCAGACTGCAGGGCGTCCAGCCAGGGCGGCTCTCCTTTCCTCCTGGCCCAGTCCCCGCTGCCAGGCATCCTAACACTGCAACATCATTCCACTACAGGAAGAACATACCTGTTGTATTAGGGGAATTGAATTGTGTCATATTGCTGGGGGACTGCCAACAAAACTCCCACCGCAGAGAAAAAAAAAAAAAAAAAAAAGCCAGCGGGCCTGGGAGTTCAGATTTGCGTGTGAAAAAGAGTTTGATTTTGCCGTTGACACATCCAAGGCATTGCAATGGAACCAGCCCGCCGCAGCTCAAAATAGCTCATAATCAATCAACTGGCAGACACATATCTGTGCTCTTAAAACGTATAAATGTGCAATGCAGAGGGCAGATCAATGGGTGACAGGATTCCAAAAGCATCGATACGGACATGCTCTTTGGCATAACAAGCGCTCGCCATCGGCCCATACTTATTTCCTGTGCCTTTGTCCATTGGGCCGTCCAGCGTCAGGCCTGCTGGAAAAAATATCTGCCAGTGGAGCAAGGTCTGTGAAGGACAACACAGATGAAGTGGCAGAGGTGTATTAATCCGCCTTTGTGAAATCTAAACGCGACATTTAGCCGTGTCTAACCAGACTCTTCCTCTGCGATCTCGCGTGGTTAGTTTGTACAATACACTACATCTATTGTGTTGTGACTGTTAGTATGTTAGGCTGCTGCCTGCCAATCTGTTCCTCCAACAAACAGCCGCATGTTGGCCAACTTCCTCTTTAATTCACCCTCTGAAAGCAGCGCCCTTATCATCGCATTTGTGATCCAAGACGTAGCCTACAACGCAAAACACAAAGGTCTGTGGAAGTTCAGTACCGAAATAAGAGAGAGCAGGTGCAGGGAACAGAAGTTAAAAGATGAAATGAAAGCTTCTTGGACTGACTGCAGGAGTATGAGAGCAGGGTTGGGTCTGTGAAAGATAAAAAAAAAAAGCTGACAGACCTTTATCTGAAGTTAGGAATAGCCAAAACAACACAACAGACATTCTCCAAACAATATAACGTGTTTAAATACAGCCCCAGTCTACAGTTATGACCTCTGCTCCTTTACTTTCAACCCAGTTGGCTGTTGAAGCCGTCTACCACTGTTTTCCTACTTCCAGGATAGTCAGTGAGAACAGTCAGTGTGGTTTAGTAGTCATAATAACAATAGGTGTGTGTGTGTGTGGGCCTTTACACACGGACAGGTCTGCTGCCATGTAGGACAGAGTATCTATGAACGCCCTCCATCCACATAGTTCATACAGAGGTTAAAACTGAGAGAGGAAGTAAGTGAGAGGCCACGCAGTCTAACAAAATTCCCAACGCCAATCAAACAATACAGACGCACTGTGATGTTTCTACTCAACGGGGAGATTTGACTAAAAGGTACGGCACGTGTGAACAGACTTTCATGCTGCTGAAGTAATGGTAGGTCGCTTCTGCTTTTCTATCACTGGAAACAGATGTTTTTGTGTTGTTTTCCAGTAAATTCAGAGCACTGAATCACACACACACACTTTCTTAGAGACGAGGAAAAGCGCTTGAGCAACAAAACGCAACAACAACCAAACGACTGAGCCGCTATTAAAGTAGGAAAAACTCAAAACTGCTGCCATATAAAAGTAAGAGCCACTGCGTGATTATTCAAATCAAAAACTAAAATCACAGTTTGTACATTTGTTCCAGATTAAGCTGTAACGTATTAACATTTTTTATCTCCCCTACACACACTGTTACAGTAATATAATTTTTTTTTTTCAGCTTCAAGATGATTTATTGTTCAAACATACAACTGCTCACCAGCTGTTCACCAATCAGGAGCAGCAACGTAACAGGCAGAGAGGCGGTGATAGGAAGCCGGCGAGAAAGGCAGGAGAGGGAAGCAATTAAATGGAGTAAAAAAAAAAAAAAAGAAAAAGATACTGAAAAGGAGGAGGTTGGAAACAGGGAGGACAATTGGGACTTAAAACAAACAATTAAGCATCAGTCATTTGGCAGTATTTGGGATTTGGAAGTGTAGATGTATCATAACTTCCATGCAACAAAAAAAAAAAAAAGATCAAGTTCAAAACCAATACATGCGCCGAGACACCAGAAACGTCACATATAAACCAGCACCGCTCCGTTTTAATACTGTATGCTTTTCCCTGCCTTCATTTTACTCGGTGAATGTTTACTCATGTCACAGGATAGCTGTATTTTCAGTAGCAAGCCTCGGTGGTTTAACTCTACTACAATACAGAATACTGTTTCAACATTCAGAAGAACACTGCATTAACTCAAACTGAAGAGTTTTAAATGTTTATGATAGCAGCATATTATGTGGTTTCATTATGACACTGGAATACTGACTAAAGCAAACACAGGATGTTTTTTTTTTTTACATATTGTGCAGGCGTACTGCACACAGACAGGCTCAGAACAGCAAAGACAAACACAGGCCTTGGACTGGAACAGCTCCACCTTACAGATTCATGTGACTCTCCAACCATCACCTGACTGTCTCTCTCCTTTCTATGGAAGCTGCTTTCAGGCAGGGCAACCAGCAAAGACTTGACCCCAAGTCAAATTTATGTCCAAAGGAACGGAAGATATTCAGGAAAAAGAGTGCAGAGATTGTTTGTCTACGTGCTGTAACATCTTTAAAACATCTCAACGCTACACCCATGTTAGCGGGCTCACAGTTCGCTGACAACAAGACAATATCCCCAGTCGCTGATAAAGTGTGCCTTTGACCGAACCCGGAGAGATAAAGGCAGCCAACCTTTGGGATGGGAGGGGACAACTCCCAGCAGCCTGTACCATGTACATGTCCTACGTATTTACATGTGAATCCAGAGGTGAGTTAGAGAGGAAGCAGAAGGAGAGCGCTATAATCAGCGAGTTGCTTTGCATAACCAAACTTCCTTTTACAGGCAAGAGAAGGGGCCCCCTCCGCTGCGTACAGCCGGCACCCTAAGGTGGCCCAAGGTACTCTCGGAGCCGTCCAAACAATCTGCGGCACCGTGCAGAGAGACATCAGCTTCTGCGCCTTGCCACACTGAAGTTATCAGTATTTCCTAACGGCAGTGTGTGCAGTACAATTGTATTAGGACAAACTCTACACAGATTGTAGCCAAAATCAAATCCTGACCCACATAGCTTTTGTCCAGCCTCAGAGACACTGAAATGTAGTCTACCAACTCTCCACAAGTAGGTTATCACTGTCACCGACACTGAAATAAGAAACGCAAACTTTAACAACAGCATTATTACGTTTTTACAGTAAACACGGACAAATACTGCTTCAGTACGGTTCCAAAGAATATTCCACTGTTGGGCATTTTACTACAGGCCACGACAGGTTTTGCATATTGCCATGGTGAAATGAGCTATATGTATAATTTTCCAAAGCACGACTACAACAACTGCTGCTTGCCTTGCCACACCCAGAGTAAACATATCTCAGCCATATTCATATATGACATGACACCAGCACACACACACTGCAGAGTTTTCACCTCAAACCTAACACACAAAGAGGACGGGCAGAGCAGGGGGGGGGGTGTGTGTGACAGTTTACAGGCCTCGTCTCGTTTCTCGCTGTATTACTGCCGTATGAACAACTGATTACATAATGTTTGTAGAAATCTTTTGGTAAACCTGCGTGTATCCAAAGCTCATACAAATCATATTAAAATGAATGTGTGAACTCACTATTGTGCACAGTCGATGAGCTGGTACTCATTGGACCTCTCGAAGCATGCCTTCACTCCTTCGTCGTCCCACAGCTTCTTCGCGTGATCAAAGAACTCCTGAGGAAAAGAAGAACGGATATTAAGAAACAGACAACAGAGAAATAACATATACTGGACAACAAAAACTTAAACACGGGAGTGCAACGTCACGATGGGAAGGTCAGAGGCCTTGAACTCATTGACACTGCTGATATAGATTCTGTAGAAATGTTGTAAGCCACGTGTTCAGTAACTTACAGCTTTTTTCCTTTTACTAAAATTTAAAACGTCTTTTGAATTTGTACTTTGAAAAAAACTTAAAAGATGTTGAGACTTGTTGCTGCCGTGACGACCGGATAGCTAAATAAACCGAATGGAAAGTGACATTGCCCATTTTGTAAACACATTTTTCCAAAGAAACCCATTCAGTCGTACACGCAGTTTCCCATCACACGCCGAGCACCACGCTTACAGTTACATACAGAACATACACACATCTGCACGACCGCCGTCTTCCATCACTGAGCTGTTTAGTTTCAGCTGCTGCCTCGCTCACAATTAGTAGATCAAAAAGAGTACGTAGAATATTACCCAGCACGTATTAGTACTGTATTTACTTTAAGTTCTACATTTTGGGTGCTTGTTTGCTTTCTTAATGGGATTTACATGTCTGTACACAATATATGGAGCTTAGCATGCAGACTGGAAGCGGCTCTATCCCTAAAAAATGCGACTACCGACACCGGCCGTACCTACAGAGACCGGGCAGCCTCCCACAGTCTTGTCAAAAAGAGGGTTTGGTACTGAACCATCCAGCCTGTACATTAAATTATACTAAAACCTCACAGACCACCTCGATCAACCTGCACTATAGCCAGGTTTTGCACATAAATGCAGATGATATCAGAAGTAATATTAGTAGTATAAGTAGAATTGCAAAGACTACAGTGACTCAGTTACAAATTGTCACATGAAGGTTCTTCAAAGTGCTGGCCACTATTTCTTAATTTACAACAGGAAAAGAGAGTCACATCAAACTTAAACGTAATATCCTTCTCATTATGCCACAACAGTATGTTTGTAGGCAGCTTGGTAGAGAGCTGTAGAGTATTTGAATGCAGTGCTGCATCAGGAATCTGTGAAAGTGAGTTTTATAATCCAAAAAAAAACCACAAGAAAAAGCTATTTAATACTATATACAGTAACGTGAGTGTGTGAGCAGTCAGTTACACCTCTTTTGAGCTCTCATTCACTTCCCCCATACAGGTTTATCCAACAGTTCCTGAATTAAAACTCATGACTTTCTGGTCACAAGCTCTCTTCTCTAAACTGTAAGCCAAACACTCTGACACCAAAACATCAGGTAAAACTACAGAGACAGTTCACTACGTCTCCTAAAATATCAGATGTAACCCGCGCTGCTGCTGCTGCTGCGGCGGCACGACGCTGTAAATGACTATACATAGTTCAAGAGGGAGCATTATGTGGGGAACTCATCAGTGACTTTGAGACATTTCCCAGGACTCTCTGAATGCCCTAAACAAAGATGATTGGGCTAATATCCCTCGTCGCCTCCTGTGCACATGTCTTTCAGATGGGCTCCTCCTCTAGCCTGGAACCACCACATGACTCTCTGCACTCAGCACTGGCTCTGCGCTCCGGCTGGGGAGAGGGTGAAAGTAGCCCCGAACCAGAGAGAGAGAGGGAGAGAGAGGGAGAGAGAGGGAGAGAGGGAGCCTGATAAATGATCACATGCTCCGGGAGATCTCCTCTCGGCAGATCCGGTGATTAGTTCAACATGGAGGAAATCCACCGATCCAGTCTGCAGAAGTCTCACATACAGATACATTAACATTTGTTTACTTTTTTTTTTTGTGTTGCGGATGAATGTAGGCTCACACTTCAGGCACAAGCCCGAAATAGCCTAAACACTGATGCTATCATGTTGTACATATTAACACCATATACCAAAGTGTGATACATTAACCCATCACTTTTTATTTTACAACCACGGCTCAGGTGTTTTTCCTGTAACGAAGCATTTGACCGAAACACTTGATAAACAAAGAAAATGGGGCCATATTTGCTTTCTTGCCTGTATTTGCTTCCACTTCTGTTACAGTCAAACTTTACCACCCACCTCAACTAATATCAATAAGAGTTGTCGACAGCGCCGATTACATTCTTCTGCTATTAGCTCTGCAGGTCTCGCCGAATGTTTAAATACCAGCAGACGTGGAGGGGCTTGAAAACTCAAAAGAAGGGCCCGACAAAAGCTATGAAGCGGTGGGACTGGATGGAGAGAGGACGAGGGGTGGAGGGTGGAAGGGGCAGAGCGGAGGGGGGGAATAAAAATAAATAAATAAAAAAAAGCAGAGTATGGTCCTCAGGGCTCTTTTCCACAGAGGCGTGTGACACTGGGCCTTTGAATAAATGCAGTGTGTGCTGCAGTGCCCTACAGAGGAACTGATAACACAGAAAGAGACCAGGAGGGAATTTGCTTTAACACAAGCTTTATTAACTCTTTCCCGTAACTCTTCCCACTTCCACACAACCTTCCTCCTCCTCCGTCACCGGCCGTGAGATGCTGATTCTCTCAGCTCGGCCTTAGCTTCGATGTTAATCAAGTCGGGTGCGTGATGTAATATTTCACTTGAATCATATAGGTCAGACTGACACGGAGAACAAAATGGCCTAAATCTGATTCAACTTAGCGGGAAAAAAAAAACAAAAGTTGTGGAGAAAATGGCTTGCATCTTCCGTCGTAAGGGGGACGCTAGAGTTCCTTTGGGCGAAGTTTTGAAGAGCAAAATGTACAGAAACGGGTACGAACCTCGAACCCCTCCATACGTAGAGACAGCCAGACAACCAGCTGGCTCCTCAGTACACCATCACCACCACATTTATTGGATTTGAATAGAATATCTGTGTTAGATAACAGTCCAGCACAGAGAGAGAGAGACCTGACTTTCATGGGTTACCTCAGTTAAAGAGTGCAGACAAATTTAGCTAAAAAAAAAAAAAAAAAGAGAGCAAAAGCGAAGGAGAGAGGGAGCGACTGTTCGAGACCGCTCATCTTTCATAACGCGGTTCCAAAACCGGAGCAGCCCTCCGTGCCACCCTTTGCCCCACATCACGGATCCTCAAGTAATCAATTAGAGGAAAAACAAACTTCTAGGACCGAAGCTGTTCATCACGAGGAAATCACCAAGAAGCTCACAACAAGGGAATGCTACAGAAGTGTTACCCTTCACGGCTGCAGCCGAAGAACAAAAAGCAGAAAGCACAAAGCAGGTTCCTTAATAGAAAGTCATAATTACTGGTCGGCCTGTAAACTGACAGCGGACAACATTAAATTAGGTTACACACTCGCTGACAGTTGCTGACGTGCCCATATTTGGCCACGGTGTTAGATTTAAACAAGTAACTCTGGACCCAAACGCAAAAACAGATCAGTCCAGCAGCGGGCGGGTGGGGCTGGACATTAACACGAAGCTCACCTTCCACAATAGACTCTTGTTTTAATTCACACCCAAAAACGCAAGAAAATACTTCTGCGGGATTACAATAAAGGCTTTAACGTGCCAGACGAGAGGAAGATACACGGTGCTGAAACAGGGGCTGAAGCTCATTTGAATTCGCTCCACTTCAGTCGACAGAGACAGTCGGGTGGCTAACACAGCTACCACAGTGGCATTTGTTTTCCATTT